GTGAGCATAGCTAAGTATCAGGTAATTATAGTGTATTACTTGATATGGTTGTATGCACACCTGAAAGCTTGTTTGCCACCCATGTGCTCCTGGTAATTATCTGCCCAATACTTTCTCCTCTGATGCTCCAGGATGATTGTGGTCATAAATACAAGTCTGGGAGCAGCAAGTAACAGGAGAATTGAAGGGAAAGAATCTGCCAGGTTCTTTTACTGAAGGCCTTATGATGAACTTGAGTTTCCTCATAGAAGAAGAGTCTAATGCAGGGCCTAATGTCTGATTTAGACTCCAGCTTGATAAACTAGTCTGCCTGGATTCAGGTCTCCAGGCTAGCTGAAAGCAGTTGTGTGGCCATGAAGAATAACAATGGGCAAAGCTTGGTGTTGTTGAATTGCAAATAAGTATTGGGGCAGCGGTGAACAGTGAATGGTTGCTTGAAATCTGCTTGACTGATAGCTCCAAAGATAAGCATGTTTAAATTGGTGTATCAGGCTGGGTTTTTTCTTCCCTGTGCCTTTAATGATGTTTAAGTAGTGAGCTGTGGCTTCCAGTGAAACCTTGCAGCCTCAATATGTAGGTTTTTGGATAGATAAGGGATGGCCTAACAGCCATATCCGAGATCTATGTTCTGGTTACATGCTCTGCGTGGTGGGCTGGGTTCACCCTGCTTCCATCCTGTATTTCATGTTTTTGGATGACATGAGGAATGGCTGTTGGTGTAACACATGCCATTGAAATAGCCAAATGTTGACCAGTCTGGCAAAAAAATCTGGGTTCTTTTTGTCAAGGCCTGCTATTCTGGGGGAAGGAGGGAAGAGAGAGATGACCTGCTCTAACAGCCCTGTAATTTACTGCTGCAAGAACAATAGTGCAACTCTTGGTTTAAGGAAGTCTCACCCTCCCTGTCAGAACATGCTGTATTCCTAGTTCTGATAAAGAAAATTTCTGACTCAGTGTATTTAATTTCTCTAGCTGCTGAGTTCATGATGATTTTAATTGGGGAGAAAAAACCAAATTCCAGAAATACTGTACCACAGGTAATAGTATCTCAGCACTTGGCTTCGGGAGTGGGTGAAGTCATTGAACTTCGCCAGTGGGGAGCTAGATGCTGGTGGAAACTTTGCATGTTTGGGGGTTTTTAGTGAAATCATGGACAATATTTACCACTTTTACAGGGTTTGATATTAATTAAATGCTGACCCTTCTGATTTTGTGACATTCAAATTGTAGAGATGGAAATGCTTTAAAATTACAAGTGTTACGTAAGGCTAGGGGTTTCTGGAGTTAATGTATTCTATGACATCTCCAGTATGCTTAAATGTAACAGTGGTAATGGTGTTAAATATGCTGTCCGCTTTTGCCCTGTGAACTCTGTCTTAAGTATTGGCTTATATTCAAATTGCTTTTCTGTTGTTTTTCTTTTCAGGCAAATTTTGAGGGGTGAGCAGGAGGTACCAGACTCGATGAGTTTCCACCGAAATGTCGGAAAAGTCAGGCCAGAGTACAAAAGCAAAGGATGGAAAAACAAAGTATGCAACACTCAGTCTGTTTAATACTTACAAGGGAAAGTCACTGGAAACTCAGAAAACCACAGGTGAGTAAACTGACTTTAGTTTTGCATTCTGTTTCATCATTACTGTAGTACTAATTAAGAGTGCAAAGTATATGAGCACTTAACCACAGCCAGATTTTTTTTTTTTAACTGCTAGATAGAATAGTTAAGTGGAAGAATTCTGGAAAGCAATGTTGATTACAGTTTCTGGTTAGCTGTAAACAAGAGTATCAGTTCAGGGAGACAGCATTTGCAGTCTAGTAGGAAGTAGAATATAGGTAAATAAAACCTGTTTTATAGCTGCAGTCTCCATTTGTTATCAGCATATGACATGCCATTCCCCAGCTGTGCCTTTTACCGTATTTCAGAAAACATTTGCAGTACCGGAGGTGTTTGATTAACAAGAAGGCAATGATCAATTTCCAGTCAGGTGCTTTGTCTGTTTTGCAGACAAATGCTGGGTGAAACTTATACTGACCGTTCAAATAAGGCTACTGTGGGCCTGCTTTTTCATGATTGATTGGATTGAGAACCAGGGGGGAATGACACTGAAGGCTTTGAATTTGATTTGACATACTTGCCTAAACTGGAGGGTGAAAAGAGGGAAAGTGTGTTCAAACTTTGTTAAAGTTTTCCACAATATTATTTTTAAAGGTTGAAACTGGGATGTTTCTAATGATACAACATGCCTAGGGTAGCATCTTGTACTTGTCACCTGAGTTGATTAGCTGGTAGGTTGAATGTCCTGTGTAGCACGTTCGCTTCATATTGCTTTTTCGTACTTGTGGTCTGGAGTAAATGCAATTTGTATGAATGTTTTTGCAAGAGCAGCATCTGCCAGCTGGAACAGGCAGCAAAAAAGAAATGGGCTGGACCCATGTGGGTATTCCTGGACTCATCAAGGTACATTAAACTCCAAAAGGAGCAAGAGAATGATGCTTGACAACATGTTGAAGGATATTAAGACATCAACATCATATTTTAAATGGCTCCTCTACCTTTCTGTCACTGAGCATTGTGTATAAAGGTGGGGCCGTATATCCTTTTTAATCTCTGGAATAGGCTAACCATAGTGACTCAGTATTCAAAAAGTACTCAAGTTCTCCCAAACCAAGTATTTCTAATTCCCTTTTTTAAAATTAAATCATGAAGAATTTTTAATTTCTAATTCTTATACGCTTAATTTTTTCTGTTTCTTGCAAAACATTTTTATTGATTTATGTAGCTTTGCATGAACGCTATCCGCTGAACAGCATTGTTAACTTGCACTTCCTGTTTTGGCATGCAGTTGCCGCACGCCATGGATTACAGAGTCTTGGAAAAGTTGCTATTTCAAGGAGGATGCCTCCCCCAGCTAACCTCCCCAGTCTCAAAGCAGAGAACAAAGGCAATGACCCTAATGTGAACATTGTGCCTAAAGATGGCACAGGATGGGCTTCAAAACAAGAACAGCACGAAGAAGAAAAGTAAGTGACTAATGAGATCTGGATTGTTTTGCTGTGCCATTTCTCTCAAGTTTTCCCAAAACTAGGGGTGGGCAGGGCCTGGGAAGAAATTGGCTAGACTTGACTGTCCTCAAGATAGCTAGCAGAGAGGAAATAGCACCACTATTAATTTTTGTGAGGAAGAATCTTGCTATTAGGGCGATAGTTTAAAAAAATAAAACCCCAAAAAACCCCACCAAGAAAATCACCCTTAAGATGAAAACAGTATGCTTATAAATTCCATATGAGGGGATGAGTGTTTCCTTTAGTCACCTGACGTGGCTACCTTTGTGTAAGTTTTGATGGCTGCTTAAAGGAAATACTGTAGCATATTTTTATAAGATCAGTGTAATCACCTTAAAATTCTCTTGAAACTATAGGAAGAACCCTATACATAGCAGCTAAATTAAATAATAACTTGCAAGTTCATGAGTATGCAAAAATCTGTTTAATTTAGTGTGATTGTGCTGATGTATGGCAGAGAAAGCTCAAAAATTCTTGGTTCGTATACATTTTTTTGAATCTCTGCTTTATTTTCCTAATGGTTCTTAATATTTGCACTTTAATTTGTTTGTTTAATATGCCATAAATTCTACAGGCTTACAAAAATTTTCTATCTTAAACTTTACACTATCGTTTCACACTCCCCCAATATATGATATAAACAAAATAGAAGTGATGGTGGTGATGATGTACTGCTGTATACAGTGTATAATATAATTTCCCACACTCAGTACAGTTTCATCTGCTAAGTTTGTTTCACACTTGTACAGGAGGTCAACTAAAGAAAATAGTGACTAAAACTTTTCAATATTTAGAAAGTATTTTAAAGCAAATTTTTTGCCATATAAGCTTAAAATAGGATATGATTCTCACTACAAAAGTAAAAGTGGGTTTTAAGTGTTTATTCTTTGACATGTAAATTGTTCTGAAAAACACTTGAAGATAGAGGCACTGATTGTATGTCACTAGCACTTGTGAAAGCAGAAGGTGGTTAAAGGTTTTCTTCGCCTTCTTGCTGTCCCTTTGTTTCTCCTTGTATAGTTTCCTACATTTACATGTCAATTTTTGACATCTCTCTGAAAAGCTGTTAGACTTTAGGAGTATAGTGTTGTGTTTAGTTCTTTATTTTAAGCTTATGAAACTAATAAATTTACAATTTTCTGCCCAGTGTTTTGTATGGTACTTACGCAACATCTTCCTGTACTTCAAGGTCACTTACACTTTGTCTAGTTAAATCTGTGTTGAGCCAGTAGCTTGCTGACTAAAACTCGTTTTATCTGCATCTTCGTCTGCCTTTCCATAGCCTGCTGCATGTGTTAGTAGTATATTCCAGTAGTTGATGTTGCGTTTAAAAATAAATAAATATCTGTCCCTTATCTGTGACTGGAAGATGTTTGCCTTTGTATTTTTATATGCATTATTTTGATAAAGGCCTCAAAGACCACATAAAAGTAAAACTAGCGGGGGGAGGGATTCATTCCCAGGAACAGGTATGTATGCCCAGGCCATGAGTAAATTCTAAATTGAGACCTTCTAATGCGTTTGCTCAAGTCTTCAGACCATTTTTGTAAGTACTGCTGTATTTCTCCAATATTTCAACATGCTTATAAATGCCACAGTTTACATGTAAAGTGTTTTGGTATTCCTCTCAAGTGTTGTGGATAAAAGTAACATCTTGATATCAGGTTGCTTTAGTTTAATTCTTTTTCTCTTGTATCACTGCATTGGAGTTCACATGAGTGAGTTGTTCCCTGTAATTACGAATTTTTTTTTCTGCTGCTTTCCCAAGTTGTCACTCTTTCTATGTGTGTTGCCTCAGTCCCTTTTTCCTGGATAGTGCAGCCTGTGGTGTATTGATTGGACTTCCAGAGGGTGGACTTTGGCCTGTTCAGGACGCTGGTTGAGAGAGTCCCTTGGGAGACAGTCCTGAAGGGCAAAAGGGTCCAGGAAGGCTGGACACTCTTCAAGAAGGAAGTCTTAAAGGCGCAGGAGCAGGCTGTCCCTGTACGCCGTGAGAAGAACGGGCGGGGCAGACGACCGGCCTGGCTGAACGGGGAGCT